ATGTTGCTTTCCATTTTTGGAATTCATATTAGAGGCAATGTCTTTTGTTGATTCATGTTTTAAGGACTTACGAATGATTTGTGAAATCTTGCTTTTAGGAAATTGCACTGCCGGTGAAGGAAAAATCGCGAAGGAAAACTGACTTTTATCCCGATTATTGATATCGTTGTCAACAAAGATGAGAGTTGCTACAGTGTTTCTTGTTGCCATCGTTCTTATTGGTATGGTGGAAGTATCCGAAACAAGAGGACGTGGTGTTGGAGGCAGATCAGGAGGCTCTAGAAGTGTGTGGCTCAAAATCTAAAATCAAATACACACCATTCAAAGCCACTTCAGCTCGCTCCCCAGTAATCGTGTCACAGACCAAACTGGGATCGCGTTCAAGCGCGTTTAACAAATTCGTCTTTGCCCATGCAGTGCACCGCTATGAATTCAGCAGCGCCCCAGTCTGCCGACAGGGATATCCAATGTACCGGAGTTATGTCTCCATCCCAGGGGAGAGAGAAAGGCTGCTGGATGATAAAGGAAATTTGTGTTTGGATACATCAGCAGGGAGTCAAACTATGAAGGAAGGAATCAAAGACAACTTGGTTGACTTGAGAACCACTATGAAGTACAGAAATGGAGAAACGAAAACACTATACGGATTAACAACACAGTGTCCCTTGAAGACATCAGAAGACACCAAGGATCAAGGCTTCGAAGTTGCAAGTCTCGCTCGTTACAACACCTCGATTGTTACTGGAACAACTTGTAAAGAGGTGTAAAAGACCGTTGAAGGTGCGATGATCATCTTGAACGAGACAAATCCGAACGGCTCATGCCAACTCAACATCAACAAAAAACTACTATCATCTGTAGTTACTTTGTTTGTATTTATCAACACGTTTCGTTATTCGTAGTTAATTTCCATGAAACATCTGTAAGCTCATTCTAGCTGGTTAGTTTGGTTGATTTGATACACACGGAACTAAATGAAAACATGCGGCCCGCCATATTCGTACAGGCTGGTGGTGTAGTAGGACACGATTTACACGTAATTATTATAAATATATATTCTAGTCGTTCATAGTGAGATGCCATGTTACCAATGGCATTTAATTCATAGTCGGTGAAAGGGTTTTCATTTTTCAAGTACCATTTACGTAGGAATTTAAACTTTTCCCAATAAAGACTGGGAAAACACGATGTGCGCGCTTGACAAAACACATGCACGATCAATATTCATGACGGTTAAGTTATTTTCCATGACGGAACCTCGAACAGAGAAACAAAGTAACGCAGTCTACCTCACGACTTAGCTGCATAGCCTTCACGTCACGCCACGACGATTCGCCACAACATCGAAATATTTCAAGTAATAGTAATTTCAATTTAATGTTCAGATAGAGCGTCTGATGTTTTGCAAAGCTATTCGACCTAACGCTACACTATTTGTGTCTACGCTGTACCATTCTACATTACGCTGAGCCATTTCACGCAACGCTACACCATTTGTGTGTACGCTGTACCATTCGACATTATGCTAAGCCACTTCACGCAACGCTACTCTGTTTGTATGTACGCTGTACCATTCGACATTACGCTAAACCATTTCACGCAACGCTACACTGTTTGCATGTACGCTGTACCATTCGACATTAGGCTGAGCCATTTCACACAACGCTACACTGTTTTTATGTACGCTGTACCATTCGACATTACGCTGAGCCATTTCCCACAGCGCTACACCATATGTGTGTACGCTGTACCATTCTATATTAAGCTGAGCCATTTGACGCAACGCTACACCGTTTGTGCGTACGCTGTGCTACTCGACGTTACCCTGAGCCGTTTAACTCAACGCTACACCGTTTGAGTACTGTATTGCAAATGAGTGCTAAGCTATTCGTAATTAAGCTAGTCCATTTCACAATCTCATGTTCCAACTCAACATGGGCTACTAGACCGTTTCTCATTTGGCTAAACTATTCATGTTCTGTTTCACGAAGGAAAACTAGACTGTCTATAATTTGGCCATGCCATTCCTTTATTAGCTATGCTATCCTGCAGCTGATCCTTACACCATCTTTGTATTTGCTGATCTATTTGACATCCTTGTATTTTTGGTGGTGACGGCCGCCCATACACAGGCATATTCCAAAATGGGACGAACAAAAACGTTAAAGCCGTTTTTATTGCCACAGAATCTTTGTAGCCAAATAATAGCCGAAAGACTTTTGTCATTTATCACATACTGATGAACTAGAAGACTTTAGACCTCGAAATATGTAAGGATTTACACTTTTCAGACTTAAGCATAACCTTTAACAAATCACACCAGGAAGCGGCAGACGAGGTCATCTTGAAGCTCAACACAATCATCTTCAGACTTGATCTTACTATAGAGTACCCTGTCATCTGCAAAAAGCTCCGTGCTGCAGCTAACACTTAGGGGAAAGTCATTTATGTACAGGAGGAAAAGAAGTGGCCCCAGTATACTCCCTTGAGGAACACCTGAGGACACCTCCATCCAATCTGATGAATAACCTCCAGTAATGACTCTTTGTGTACGGTCTGACAGATAGTCATGAAACCAGGAAAGCAACCGACCACGATTGCCATCACATTGCAGCCTATAAAATAGGTGATAATGAGAGACCCTGTCGAAGGCTTTTGCAAAATCCAGGAAGATCACATTGAATGAATTACCTTTCTCGAGAGAACTGAACCATGAGTGTAGCAGCTGAAGAATTTGAGTGACTCATGAACGAGCTTCTCTAAAAGCATGCTGGCTCTCACTCAGCAGAATATGATGAGTCAAGAACTTCATGATATGTTTATGGATAATACGCTCCAGAGACTTCGTCAACATACTTGTCAGGGAAACTGGTCGATAATTTTCAGCCAAAGGGCGTTCACCAGATTTATGGATTGGAACAACATTGGCAGATTTTCAGACACATTGATAACTTGCCATGATCCAAAGAAAAATTAAACAACTGTGTTATTGATGGTGCAAACTTAGCAGCTCATTCCTTCAGGATTCTAGGTGAAATTGCATCAGGACCATTCGCTTTGTTTACATTAATGGTGCAAAGGACTTTATAAACATGAGCCACTGAACATGTAAAATCATCAACCATGCTCTCAGTGAAAGGTGTAACAATCTCGTAATTGATATCTCCACATCTTTTTCTAAATACACTATGAAAGAATTTATTAAATGTATCAGCTATTTATTATCATATAGGTATATCCATGCTCCAATTCCTTGCTGACTCACCTCTTTATATATATATCAGGAATGTCAACATGCTAGTCTTGAACTTGTTGGTTGTGAGATTTCTGAGTAAAGCTGGAATTTTTACGCAAGGGGGGCTTCAATCGAAACTGTTCAATCTATGTAAAAATTGTTCAATCTATGTTATTTTTATCATGTAAAAACTTTCAATGCTCAACGGTTACTTATGTCTAATTTTTATCATTGAACCAATCCATGTCTTTGTTAACTTTTGTTGAAGTGCTGTAATCATTGACTCTGTTAGTAACCATTTTATCTTGACACGAATATAGAGCAAAACGTTTTAAAAACCATTTCAGTTGATAAAAGTTTTAGTATCACAGATGTTCTAATAAACCGCTGAAGTCTGCAGCATGTTAAAAGAAGAAGTTGTGGAGTTAATATGTCAAAAAGGTGAGCTTTCAATCCATCATTTTGGCCAAATTTTCACATTGGCTAAGTCAGCCTTTCTTTCCGGCACAAGCCGTAACAACTGACTGGGCTACTATATGAAATTATACATGTCTTTTACTTGTTTCAGGCATGATTTGTCAAATCTTGTTTGCGGAAGAAAGCAGCTTTTAGGATTTGAGCTCAACTGTTGAATACGTCACCGCCTACGCACTCCACGGAACATTTGTTTTTCCTGCGCCCACGCACCTAAGTTGCACATAAGTGATGGAGAGATCGAAGAAGAACTGACTTTTCCCCAAATTCCACAAATATGCGATTAAGCACGATATTCCTTGTCACCATCGTTCTTATCGCGATGGTGGAATTATCCGAAACAAGAGGGAGATCAGGAGGTTTTAGAAGCTTCAGAACCAGTAGAACGAGAAGTAGCTCTGGAGGATCAAGCTCAAAACCTAAAATCACCAAATACACAACAATCACTGCTACTTCAGCTCGCTCTCCAGTGATCGTCTCACAAACTAAACCAGGTTCGCGTTTAGGGACGTTCATGAAAGTTGTCTTTGCCCACACAATGCACCGCTAAGCGTTCAGGAACGCTCCAGTCTATATCGGCAGGGGTATCCAATGTACCGGAGTTATGTGTCAATCCCAGAGGAAAGAGCTGTAAGGGTGACCTATGAGAGAGAAAGGCTGCTGGATGTCAAGGGAGATTTGTGTTTGGGTTCATCAACAGGAAGTCAAACAGTGAAGGAAGGAATTGACGACAACTTGGTTGACTTGAATACTACAGTGAAGTACAAAAATGGAGAAACGAAAACACTACTCGAAGTCAACAAAACAGTGTCGCTGGAAGACATCAAGGATCAAGACTTCAAAGTTATATGTCACGCCAGTTGCAACATCACGATTGTTACAGCAACCACTTGTACACAGGTGGAAAAGACCATCGAGGGTACGATGATTACCATGTACAAGACAAATCCAAACGGTTCGAGCCAATTGAACGAAAATAACAACCTCCTTTCAATTTTAATTGCATTGTTTATATTAACAAAATGTTTCGTCTCTAATAGTTAGCATCGGGCGGGCAATTTATCTAGATTGTCCGTTGTATTCGAGAGATGTATTCAGTTCAAGTTTATAGCATCTCTTAAGACTCGCAAAGTAGTATATAAACAGAATTTGATATTCATTAGTTATTTAACAGTTAATTATGCACAGCACGCCATTCGACAATTCCATTTTGCTGGTAGTAACCACATGCTAAATTTTCATTTTGTTTGCGTTTTATGCATTATTACCGATGACAATTAATCCGTAGTTAAAAGAGAAGCTCTTAATTTTTACATGCAACCCTTAGTAGGACGTCAATCGGTATCCACCGCGCTACAAATATATCAGGAATATAAAAACTTTCGATGAGCAAGGATTTATAAGTGATTTTGTTACGCTGCCTCCGAACATTGTTTACTCATCTGATGATCCGGAGGAACAATTAGAATACTTTGACAGTATGTTTAAGGAGTGTCTCGAGAGACATGCTTCTCTTCGTGGGGTGTGAGTTACAAGACTGCCAGCACCTTGGATGGAGGACAGCCAAATACGGTCGCTACATCAGCTGCGGAATAAATTCAGGAAGGAAGGCCACCAGACTGGCTCTCAGGAGTTCTGGGAAATTTTTCGGGACGTCACAAACAAGTTAAAGGCAGCTATTCGTCGGGCTCGCGAGACCTTGACAAGGCAGGCGTTATCATCAAATAAACCGAAGGAGGTGCGTATTATCCACCGCATACTGAAACCTAACTAGTAACCCTTGCAGCGGGATCCTGATAAGTTAAAATCATTCTTTTCTTGTACTGCCGAGAGAACTTTAACTGTTAGTGGTGACTTACTTTCCTGTCCTGAAGAACTAATTGAATCTCTGCCTGATGATAGCCCTGCTAATTCCAAGCTCCGAGAAGTGCTCCATATAAAATTGTTAAGATCTGATACGTCTACTGGCCCCGAGGGTATCCCCGTCAAATTCGTTAAAAGTGGTGCCTCAATCCATTGCTGGCCCCTTCACAAATATTATCAATAACTGTATCAGGGAGTACTATTTTCCTAAGGCGTGGAAAAATGTGAGAATTAGTCCAATTCCTAACGTCGATCAACCGAAGTGTGAGGAACACCTTCGTCCCATTTCGAATCTCCCCACACTATCAAAAGTCTTTGAGAAACTTGTCGCGCTGCAGATGACCATCTTTTGTGAATCTGAATCAGTACGCTGCGATACAATTTCTGGCTTTCGTAGGGGACACTCGACCAATACAGTGCTAAAGCGTATGCGCTACGATTTGCTAGGAGCGATGAAAAAAGGAGAGGTTACTCCCATGGTGCTGGCCGACCTCTCTAAAGCGTTCGACACAGTCAACTACACAATTCTCATAACTAAGTTATCAACCCTTGGTTTCTCGAAGTCGCTTCTGTGCTGGTTGAATAACTACTTAGTGACCGGTCACATTTCGTACAGATAGATGATCGTATGTCTGAATCAGTGAACGTAAGGTTTGGTGTACCACAAGGGTCGGTCCTCGGACCAATTTTATTTAACCTCTACGTTTCCGATCTGCAAGATCATCTCCCTTCCTCGATTGGTTCTTTTCAATACGCTTACGATACTACAATATACTCAAGCTGTCCAGCTCCTGAGCTACAAAGATGTGTGCAAAAACTAAAGTCCACACCAAACACTATGAACTCCTGATGTAATGACTCCCATCTAACACTTAACTCGAAAAAGACAAAGACGATTTTGCTGTCCACAAGCCAGATGTCACATGTACATAGTTTAGATGAGAATCGACCACCTCTTACAATCTCAGGTAGTACATTAGAATATGTAAACGTAAGTAAGCTTCCCGGTGTCCATTTCCACAAGCATCTTAATTGGGATGAGCACGTCCAAGCAACGTGCAAGAGCTGTTACAGAACGATGCAAACAATAAGAAAACTTAAGAAATTTGTCGGTTATAGACTCAGAAAGCACCCAGACAATTTCCTCCCGCTTGTCAGCGGAAGGAAATTGTCATAATTCAAGTTCGTGGAGAGAGGGTTTTGAGTGAAAATAGGTTGTGTAGAAAGAGAAAGAGTGATAAAAAAAAACACACACACACACAAAAAAAACAAGAGGTAAAAGGCGTAAGGTGAGTCGAGAAAAACGCGCAAGAAAGTTAGAGAGCACACCAAAATATGCAGAACGAGAAAGAAGAAAGAAAGAGAACAAGAAAAGACACAAGTAAAAAGGCGAATATCTAGCGAAGAGCAATGCGAGAAGGACATACAAAGACTCGCCTGAAAACAGACTGAAAAGAGGTCATCAATAAAGAGAAGCGAACCACAAAGGATCCGAGAAAGAAGAGAAGGTGAGTCGTGTCTTATCTGGGTTTTCTCTTACGCTAAGGCCCAAAAAAATTCAAACCTTTTTTACCAATCGTCGTTTGACACTACCTTCAGTTACAATTAAAATCACGTTCTTGTAAAACAATGGCTTTGGCATTCATCGCCTAAAAACCCTCGCGCCGGTTCATCGCTCGAATAACATTTCAAAGTGTTCGTATTCTTCAAGGCATCTCTTGTCCTGCCATTTGGAATATTAAATAAAGTCGTGGTGTTAAGGGAAAAGAAGTTGTCTTGCAAATTTTGTTTTGCCTAGAAAGTTTTCAAATGATAGCGAACAGCGTGAGCGAGTTTCTACCTCTTCCTCTCCTCAGTTAACTACCGCAGGATTTACTCTTAAAGAATGAAGAACGCATCGAGTGCACTGTTAAGAGAAGTGCGGAGAAGCACGAGCCGAAGGTGAGTGCTTCTCGCACTTCTCGAGTGTTCTTAAAAATTCTCAAGTGCTTATTTGACTCAACAAGGCTCGAGGAACAAGTTTTTTTTATTTCTTTTAAAAATGTATCGTGAACTGCACGCGCTCGTACCGATGACGTAGGCTGCGTGCATCATATCTCAACAGTGCACTCGTATGACTTAAGGTGCGTGCTTTATGGAAATATTATGAACTCGTTCTGACCAATCAAGGCGCGCACATTTCACTGAACACTTTTATAAATTCATTAAAAAAATCGCACTTTTTCGAAGAAGTGTTGTTTTATCTTAAGAAGGAAGTAATGGCCTTTCTCAACATTAACATTAAAATGAGATTGAGGGCCTGTTCAAATGAACCCGGTTGACCGGGCTGGCCCGCTTACTGGGACGAATTTCGCCTTGAGTTCATATGAGAAAATTCAGCCCAGTTTCCGAGATGAGAAACGGCCGAAGATCCTCGGGACGAGTTTTGGCGCGAAATTAGAGAAACAAACAAAGATGGCGAAACGTAACCTAGTTATTACTTTTGCGCCTATCATGGCTTTGGCAACCCTTTTAGCTGTATCACTGCAGTTTAACAGGTTGCTAATGATGTGGAAACTCATCAGGCAAAGCAAAACGATGCCATTCGGGCCACCTTGTTAAGAGATGAAACTGCGCTGCTACGTCATCGACCATTTAACGCATGCGCTATTGCGAAGAATTCATCCCGGTAACCGGGATGAAGTGTTCATATGGCAAAATTTTCCAGCCCGCTCACCGAGATTCCGGTTGGTAAAACCGAGATCACTGTAACCGAACTAGGCCGCCCTCTCATATGAACACATCGAAAATTTTACAAAGGATTCAGAGGT